CTCTAATATGCATGGCTTGGTTCTGGGTCCAGTTTTAGCTTTTCCTTTCTAAAGTTTGTGTTGCAGTCTGAGTGGCGGCAGAGGCTCTTTTTTTTTTTTTTTGTGAAATCCCCTTTCGTACTTGTCTAAGGAGACTTGTCAGGAGGTAATGCTTTGGGGAAATAAAGTTTCAAATGTTCGGGACCTATACACAGGCGACAGCGAAAGGCTGGGATCATCTCGTCCTCCCTGCTGCTGCCGGTGCTGTACCCTGAGATGAGCTATTTTCGGAGCGCCGGTATGCAGAGCAGTTTTGCAGTTACACACAAAATAAAGCGGTTTAAGAACAAAAGATTGTTCTGGACAGTCAAACTGGAATGAGTTGGAAGGGTACATTTAGGAAGTAGTTTCTTGGACACTAATTAGGACCATTTGCTTGGGGTTGCCATTATTTTCCTTTAAGACTGGAGGGCACAATAGATCAAATGATTTATATATCATTAACAATTCTTGTTAACCATAAGCAGGGTTGGGCTTTTCCATACTGATTACCGAGTGCTGCAATAAGGACTTGTTTTATTTCTTCTGCAGTGTCCATATGAGCAAGTTAACGTGAAAGACCAGTCCAAAAAGAAGCGCTTCAACTCATTTTATTTTTAATATAGGAGTATTAACGTCTTTCATTCGGCGAGAGGCGGCTGTGAAACTAAAGCCCATCATCTCTGTGCCTTCCACTGCTGGAATACTGGCATTTGCTGTACCTGATCCTGGCTCCCTGTGACTGCATTTTAATTGTCATAAAACACAAACCGAACCATATGTGAGCGTGTGTTTTAGACGGCGCATCACCGATCCCCCTTCCCCTTTCTTTTGCGCTACAAGTAACGGGTTACAATCCCACAATACAATTATTTTCACTTTCAAAGAAACTAAGGAAGGGAGCATATGCGACCAGTAAATCCCACGGGTGTATCTAACGTTACTTTTGTAAGCACCGTGATGTCCAAGACTCATTGATGCCCAGGAGTTTCGGCTGTTGGGAGGGCGGGGGGGGGACGAGGGGAGGGGTG